AAGAGAGACATGGCACTACTGGAGAGAGGCCAGCGGAGGGCTACAAAGAGGATGAGGGGACTGGAGCCTCTCTCCTCTGAAGAAAGGCTGAGCGAGCTGGGCCTGTTGAGCCTGGAGAAGAGAAGACTGGGAGGCGGTCTCATCAATGTGTACAAGTATCTGAAGGGAGGGTGTCGAGAGGATGGGGCCAGACTCTTCTCCGTGGTGCCCAGCGACAGGACAAGAGGCAACGGGCACAAACTGAACCACAGGAGGTTCCATCTGAAGCTGAGGAAAAACTTCTTGACTGTGAGGGTGACTGAACACTGGAACAGGTTGCCCAGAGAGGCAGTGGAGTCTCCTTCCCTGGACATATTCCAAACCCGTCTGGACGTGATCCTGGGCAACGTGCTCTAGAGGACCCTGGTTGAGCAGGGGGGTTGGACGAGATGATCTCCAGAGGTCCCTTCCAACCTTGGCCATTCTGTGATTCTGTGAAGCTGCCTATTGGGTGCTGCTCTTCTGATCTTCACTTTGAGAAACAAGAGAAAACCCCTCTCCAGGCTTGGAGAGCAGAGTAGAGACTAATGAGGCTCAGAACTGAGGTGGGTGCCCCGGTCAGGGCCAGATGACTCTGCTCTGCACAAGGCAGACAGCCAGGAGAAAGGGATGGAGGGAATGAGATGGATGACCTCCCCTTCCTTCCTGATATGGGGCTGAAATAATAGGTTGTTACTGTGGTGAAGGACCCAAGCTCCTGTAGTGACAGGGCAGACTTCTAGGAGAGGCATTTAGCACATGTTTTTTTCTTTACAAGTGTAATTTCATGCCTATGCCCTCTCCTTATTAGGTGAGGCTTTCTACTTGGCAGCTGACAGCCGTTTAAGAGTAAAGGTCTTCTCAGCTTAGTCTCAGCCTGTGGCTTAGACAGTATGCAGACAGAAAAAAGAAAAAAAAAATGCATGGCCTGCATGGCCTGTACAGGCAGCTTTAAAAAAAGATCACGCATGGCTCCTTCCTGAGGCTCACTGACAGGTGCTAAACACAGGAAGGAGACATGATCTGGAAGCAGAGACTTGCCTCTCCCTTACTATTTGGCTAAAGAGGAGGCTAGTCCTCTTGCAAGACAAGCTGCTTCTGCGACCAGTAAGGAACAGTGATTTGGGGCAGCTCTGGCCTCCCCCTTTCTGCAGGCTGCCCTAGTGTCCCTTGTCCACACTGTCCTTTTTGGCTGAAAGTCAGTTTTATCTTTGGCACCACACTCAGTCCGCACTGCCGAGTGACATGCCAGCAGGAAAGGTTAAAAGGCAGTCACAGCAACCCTGGCCTTGCAGTACCCCTTGCTGCCCCCCTAGGGGTCTCCCTGAGATGAGAAGCAACACAGCAAAGCCATGAGGGTTTGGCGAGAGTGAGAGAGAGCAAGCAAGCAGCGGGCCTGGGCTCCCAGCCCCTTCCTACCCCCACTCCTACCGCAGACCTGCCTCATGAACTGTGCAGTGCAGAGGAAGCAGCAGGCCTAGCGCTGTGGCTGTGCATGGGGGAGGAGGCACAGGAACAGGAGAGAGGCAGTGGTGCCAGGTGAATTAAGCTCTACGCTTCTTCTCTCCCTTTCCCGCACATACGCACGCCCACACACACGCCCACACACACACACACACAGACGGAGTTGTACAGAAAACAGGAGGAGGCTAAAGCCCAAGAAGTCTAGAAAGAGGGGCCTGGAAAAGTGAGGAGCAGAGTTGGATGAGAAGAGGCAAAGGTAAGAGGCAAGAGAAAGAAACATTGGGAAACATGTGAATACAGAATAACCTGCCTACCACTTCCTTCCTGCTCGGCACCATCACCATTGCTTGCTAGTGTTACAGGTACCTCTGGGGGAAGTATGCCTTCGCAGAACGAGCAGCAAAGGACAGGCGTAGGCAGTACAACAAGGAGAATATTCAAACAAACAGTGGGTCAAGGAACCGATGCAAAGCCTGGGGGAGGGGAGAACAGACGCTCAACCACTCTTAAAGATTTTTTGTGCTAAGGCGCTTAGCATAGACAGTTGCTGAGTAACTGAGACGGCTTGCAACTGCACAGCATCCCTGTCTCTCGCTGTCTCCCTTGCCTATTATTCACCTGCTGCGCCTCTTCTTAGAAATGGAGGTCCCCAAGACAGCTTTCTATTATGCAGGTGTACAGTGACTTTCAAGTCTGTTGAACACATCTGAGTCAAGGACAAGACCTCATATGTCATGTTCTAGATGAGGGATCTGGCCATAGAATCTCTGCTGCTACAGAAATTAAACAGTTTTCCACACTTGTTTGGTAGCTGGCTGGGAGCAGGCCTCACCTCCTTCATCAAGTGTGGCAGACTCCCAGAGGCAGCTTTCCTTATTGCAACCATCATTTTTTTAAGTTAACACCAGCTAGGAGTATGCTTGCATTGCAAGGAAAGAAGGGGAGTAACTTTAAATCTTCTCACACAAAAAAGCCTACATGAGCCCTGGTCAGTACTGTGCAGTCTTCCCTGTACATAGCAGTGAGGATCCTCTTGTTCAGTCATTTTTAAGATGGGACACTTAAAACTAAAGGAAACTTCAAATCCCCCTTGAAATGATCTGAACAAATACGCTGGACACCAGACAGTCCAGTTCTCAGACAAGGGGAGATGTGGCCCACTAGTACTTGGCAGGAATGTGATAGTTTGGCCTGAGTAAAGCAGCAACCACTGCCTGCTAAACCTTGTCAACGTGTCAACACGTGAGCGAAGCATGGCTTGCCGCAGAGGGAAGTGGAAGGTTGTCACAGAGTGTGGTCGCACCCTCCGGTGTTTTTCTTCCACACAAGCAGGACTTTTTCAGTTCCTCTGTCTACAGAGGCCCCCTTCCAAGTCTCTTCATCCTGAGAAACAGCTTAATCTGCTGCTGGTGCCAAGGACAGCAGGTACTGGATAGGATGACCTCTTGGTCTGCCCATGCTTCATCTGCTTGCTGGTAGGGACTGGAAACTTATCTATGCTCAGAAGCTGCCGTCATCGAGCAGACTCTGATGGTGTTGGGCTGCTTGCTGTAAATGAACACGTCTTGTCAAGCTCCAGAAAAACACATCTTGCTATTTATGGCTGCGGCTAGCACTTCGCTGCTGTGAGGGTCTCCCGGCCTAAGACAGTCTGTGTCTACATTCTCATATGGCTCTCATTTCATGGTAACTAAGCTAGGTCAGAGCACGTGATTGCCTTTCAAGATATAGGGATCTTGCATGGCAGGTGTCCTATTTGGCATTCAGGGTGGAACTGTTTATGCAGCTCTCATAGATACAAAGGGGAAGGATCAGCCCCACTAGCTTGTCCACCCTCCTGGAGGGACGTGAGAGAATCCAGATGCCCGCTGCACTGGGATTAGCCTGCTTCACCTTGGTCTGCCTGAGACCAGCCCCAACAAAAAACAAATAAATGTTCAGAGGATGCCAAAAGCTCCCTTCCCTCCTGCATGAACTCTGTGTTAAAGAAATTGCTCATCTACAACATGGATGAGGCAGGCTCACGCCCCTCGTCTGTCTGAAGGGACTCAAACTCTCTCAACACAATTCCTCCTGCTCAGTTAACTAACTACTCCCTGGAGCAGGTATCCACATTACAGAAGAAAGTCCAAAAGATAAGGCTAGATGAGGCCTCTTTTTATTAAGGGCATTACACAGAGGACACCTTCATCTCATAAATATAGCAAAGTAAAATTATTAAGGGCACACAACACCATTATGGGCCACCTATCTCCAGATTCCTCTCTTCACATGGAGGAGATTTCTGTGTGGAAATCATTATGTGACTTTGCTAGAAATTCTTCTCCTAGCACTACTTAACACTAGCCAAATGCCAGGTCTGCTCTTGTGTGTAGTAGTCTTGGAAAGGTGGGGTTCTTTGTAATTACTCCTATTAAAAAGAGCTTTAATTTTCTTATAGTCTTATTCTTAAATTCCTATTCTTATATATTCTTATTCTTTCTTGTTCTTACATTCTTATTTGTAAATTCTTATATTCTTCTCTTCAGTCTTGTTTACTTCCTCTCACTACCCTTATTTCCTGTTGTCTCTCATAGGTAGCAAACAAATGTAATAGGCAGTCAGGCTGACTTACTACATTGAGTGTTATATAGCACTACAAGTTTATACTCTTCAGCTGCAGTTACCTGTGCGAGGGGGGAGTGAACTATCTCCAGTCCACTGTGTTGTATTACAGTGTAGAAGTACATATTAGTGGCCAGATTCTGATTTCCATACACTGTGGAGCGTAGTCTATGATGCCATAACTACCTCCACCCCCTTCAGATGGTTCCCCCATCTAACCATAAATGACAGCTTCTTTCAGAAGTCTGCCTCTGATAACTCCACTGTTGGCATTTTTTCCTACTCTGTTTTTTTGAAAAAAACAAAAAACTAAAGAAACCAGAAGTCTGATGCCCTCAGTTTCCTCCAGAAAGTAACTGTAGTAATTGATCAGCAGCTCTGTCTTGTTTATGGGGCAGCCTAGGTTAGGGACAGCCCCCAACACCCTTTCTTAGTGAATAGGCACACCATAGTCAAGAAATTACTTGCAAAGAAAGGCACTTTCCTGGAAGGAAATCATAACTGGCTCCTTGGAACACTACAAGAGACCATCAGGTCTTGGAGAACTTGCCTGTCTTAGATGCTTCCCCAAGATAAGCATCCCTGCCATGCCCTGTTGGTACCTGTGGGGTCATAATCTTTATTGACATATTTTTAAGTGATATAAATGCTAACTTCCCATCTTGTCTTCTGATATTCAGGAAACACCAGCTGGAAAAAAGTCATGGGAGATTCTGTGGCCTGTGGCATCATCATGAAGAATATCTCCATTTGCCCAGAAATGCCCTACAAAGACAGCAAGACACTTCTGGTTGCTGTTTACAGCATTGTTTTTGCCATAGGACTTCCAGCAAATTGCTTAACTTCCCTACTTACATTTGTACAAATCCAAAGGAACAAAGTAATTGCCATCTACATTTTCAGTTTATCACTGTGTGAACTGATGTATTTGAGTACCTTGCCTCTCTGGATTATTTATGTCCAAGATGAGCATCACTGGAAAATGGGTCTAGGTGCTTGCAGAGTTACAGGATTCATCTTTTTCTGCAACATATACATCAGCATTTTGCTCTTGTGCTGCATTTCTGTGGATCGTTATGTGGCATTGGTATATGCTTTGGAATCAAGGGGGAAAAGGGGACAGAGAAAAGCAATCCTAATAGTATGTTTTCTCTTTGCTATCGTTGCAATAATCCACAGTCCTGTATTTTCTATGGAGGATAATTCCCTGAATCTGAATAACACGACTTGCTTTGAAACTTTTCCTCTTGACACAAAATTGGCTTCTTTCAACTTTGCCAGATTCCTGTTTGGATTTGCCATACCTTTCACAACCCTCATCTTCACGAACTACAAAATTTTCCAAAGTGCAAAAACAAGCACCAGTTTGAGTTGTCACCAAAAAGCCAAAGTGAAGTATCTGGCTATCGCCATTATTGTCATTTTCCTAATCTGCTTTGCTCCCTACCATGTGGTACTCGTAGTAAGATCCATCTACTTTATATTTCATCAAAGTTGTTCATGTCCATTTGAAAGAGATATATATTCAGTTTTTACAGTATTTCTGTGTTTATCAACTGCAAACAGCATTGCTGATCCAATCATCTATGTGCTGGTTAGTGAAAGTGTCAGAAAAGATTTTTACAGAACTCTGAGAAGATGGAGACTGAACTCATCCAAGCTGAATTCATCCATTAATCACAAGACTGAGAGTGGCAAAATGAAAACTGGAGAAGAATCACAGGAAGGAGTACTGAGAGAAGAAAACAAAGATACATCAAGTTCATCCCACGTTCAGAAGACCTGTATTAGTGGCAAAGATCAAGCAGATGGTAGCTAACAGTCTGCTGGCAACAAATAAGATGTTCCCAAGATCAGCTGCAGGCTCCACAATGCAACATGTTATTGACATGGTGACATCCTTCAGAAGCTTTGTCACAGTGCATGGGCCAGCATGCACTGCCAGTGCATGGACACTGCCAGTCCTCAGTTCCTTGAGGACTCTATGGAAGGGATACTTCTAATGTGTTTTCACTGGAGGAGATATCTGTTTGTCTCCTATTGGAAAGTTTGCCCGCAAGTATCATCAGGGAAAACCTTGCTTTGCTAAGGACATGTTCAATAAATGATGTCATTTACTTTAAGCCAAACTGAAATCTTAAAAGCCTATTTTTTGGACTAACCCTTTTCCTCACACAAATTCAGAACCAGTTTCATCTTCTGCGGTAGAAAAAAAGATCCCTACTGAGGAGAACAATGTAGGGCCTATGCTTCTCGTTTAAAACATTAATTAATTAGGAGGTATATTTTTAGATCCTTATATATGCACTCTGTTGTTGCATTTGTGGTTAAACAGTGGAAAGTATTAAAAATATTAAAAATGAGGAAGTCTTTCAACAAGAGCCTTGAAAATGTTCTTAATATTTCAGTACGCAGTTTAATCTACCTTGCATATTCTGGGGAAAGTAGAGAGCAAAACAGCGGCCAGATAAGCACATACAAATAGTACTTCTACCGTGTTATCCAAGATCTTATACTGTCCTGAAATTCTTGAAAATGTACATTTCTAATGCTTGATATCTTACAATGGGTAGATTTTACTTGTTCTGCAGTTAAATCTGGAATGCACTGGCGTATATAGGATATTTATAAATTTCCAAGTGGAATCAGAGGCTATTTTTATGTCATCTCCAAATGTCTGTTGAACTTGTGTTTCACTTCTGATTAAGATAATACTTCACTGTTGGTATTGATCCAGGTTTTAGTGTGCAGGAGTCTATACAAGAGTTCAGTGCTTTATTGCCGAGGAAGGGGTGACAGCATGGAGAATACAGTACCTTATTCTCAGAGATGGGAACTCCCTGGGACATGCTGGTAGTGCATAAATAGGACTGTGTTAGGCAGATTTCACTGTTGCTGCCTCTACTGTAGCAGTGAATGAATTAGCGATGATAATATCCTGGGCCTTCAAAACAGAAATTAAAAAAAAAAAAATCATATAAATCTGCCTCCTGCCAAGATTTATTTAAACACCTTCTTCATATTTTTGTATGATCAAAATAAAGCAGATAAAGCACATGAACTGATTGGATGTTTATTTGAATATGAGTTTCTAAAGTGTTCATATCACAATCTCGTTCTACATTATGTATAATGTTGTATTTTAGTGATTTTTTTAAATTGTCATTAATGTCCATATTTCTGAACTGAACTAACATTAGCCAATGCTAATGTAAATATCTGTTAATATTTTACAATTGTTATAGACACTTATATATATATTATTTTTGACTCTTTTACACTTTTGGAAAAAAGGCATTGTGCCAGAATGTCATTTCCTCAAGTTATTTTATTTATGATATATTTAATTTTTGTGTTTTTTAATATGTCCTTTGGCATCTACTCATGAAATTGTGTCCTCAAAAGTAGTTAATGTAATACTGAATGGAATAAGAAATTGTTGATGCTAATTAACAAACCATGTTTTTTCTTATTTTCATATGCATCCAAGAGATCAAATCCTCTAAAGTACAAAGGAGAGACCTGTAAAGTGTTGAATGCTTGGAACTTCTGCTGAAAATCAAACTTTCCATTACTAAAAAACCAAGCAGCAAGCATTGCTCGGAACAACTCCAGTCAGCCAGAGCATCGTTGAGTCATCTCTGAAGATACATATGCAAACTGCCCTAACCTCAGGATATTCATAGCCTAAATGTAAGGCTCTGATGAATAATAGCAGTGAAATTAGAAGAAACAAAGGAGACACAGACTTCTAAACTGATGTAAATGGTTGCAAATTGGATACTCACCTTGATGAATTTAGAAACCTCTCTCTGCTTTTCCTCTAATAAAAAGTTAGTGTATTTATAGCAACTGACATTGGAGCCTAGTGTCATAAATGCAGGGGACAGGGATTAGCAGGGTCTGATGCAACATGTGTAATTCTTTTGCTTTGCCTAATTTACTTGCAATTTCACATTACTATGTAGTTTTGCATCTTCTCTTAAGGAAAGTACTTGGACCTTCTTTGTTCAGGCACACTCTGAAATAAAATCCTTAGAGATGGCAAAGCCCTGTGCAACCTAGTCTAACTCTGAAGGTGGCCTAGATGATCTCCAGAGGTCCCTTCCAACTTAAATTATTCTGTGAAAAAATACTGAAGGGATTACAGGGGCCAGATACCATGCAAGGTATCCTCAAGGGGAAATTGCAAATCCTGACCTCTTTGGATAAACAGAAAAGCAGTGTTTTACATTTGAGTGAGGAAACCAAGATATGCTGTTTCCACATTGTTAAAATATCGTATCAGATAAGCCAACTGTTTCTCATGCGATAAATTGAAGCACATGATCTCACTGCTTGTCAAGTATCTGACTATACCACACAGACAAATGAAGGATCTCAACATTGGGACACTTTCTACAGACCCAGTAAGGACTCTGCTCATGTCAGATCTGAAAGATGGGTTGACTGGGTGGATCTTTCCATCATTTCCTACTGCAAGGAATTTACCTATAAGCCTGCAAGGACTTTTTCGGTCTGTAAAGATTCATCTACTACATGAAGTCTTCAGTTCTCGACCCAGCTATCTGGATCGGTCCCTTGTAGACTTCCAGCTTTCTCAACTCAGCTTAACTATAACATGCCCTGGAGAGAGTACAGGACCGAACTTAGGCAGTGCTTCCTAATTTGATTGCCACGTAAGGCTCACAGTGGGCAAGTGGCTCACCAGTGTAACGGGAGCCAGATTCTGACATCTCACACTATTTTTTTACTCAGCATCTACTCCGGTATAATTCCCATAAGTTGGTTTAATGAAGACTGGGCTATTGAATAAATAAAATATGATGTTATTTTTACATGTGGCTCAGACATTCATAATGTACATGGGAGATAAGTGGGTTGCTAATTATTTTGCATTTGTCAGTGAAGCATAAAGTGATTCATTTTTGGCTACCAACTAGAGCAGGCCAAACTAGATTTTGCAAATGATATATCTGATTTGTTTGTTTAGTCATCAATTTTAAGTTATTTCTAAACATTTTTTAATTCACTGTTTGTGGTAACTCCCTTATAAACCTCCATTCGTGTCTAAGAAATGCTTTCATATTCAGCATTAAATTTTGCATTTAGATGACAGTTATATTTCCTCTACGAAACAGGTAAATGACAATATGAATGAATTCAGACTCTCTGGGAGCAAAAAAGTTTCATCGGCAGTTGGTGATCTTGTACTGGCTCTCATTCAGTGCCTGGTAACATGTACAACCCAATGCTGAATTTCTGTTTACTAATGAATGATGAAACCTAATGCAGAACCAAGCTTTCAAAAATGTTCACAGTCCAGCAGCTTTTCTTCATGGCCATGTTGCCTTCCTATGGAATAAATAGGTCTTTCAGAACATATCCTTTACATAGTGAAATAAAGGCATAGTTGCCTAATAGATTGGAATACTTGTCCTATTTCCAAACTAGCACAAAACCCAGGGCAGCAAAGCCACACTGTGCAAAGGGTGAGGGCGTCTCTCAGAGGGATGCAATCAATTTTTGTATTTCTTACTGTGCAGGGTAAGCATACAGGTAGCAGCATCCTCAAAGCTGGATCTCCCAGCATGTCCTCTGCAACTAGTGTCTAGAGGGGAGGGTGTCAAAGCTATGAGTCTTTCCAGTCCCTTTTGGTGTGATTTGCATCCTGGTGCACTCCCACTCTT